AAAAGGGGTGAAAAATTGGGGAAAAATGAGAGAAATTCAGGGAAAAATTGGGGAAAAATGGGAGAAATTCAGGGAAAAAGTGGGTAAAATTTTGGGAAAAACGGGTGAATTTTCCCGGGAGGTTTTTTTTTGGGAAAAATGGGGATTTTCTGGATTTTTCCAGGCTTTTCTACGCCGGGGCGAAGGAGGGGCACCTGCCGGCCCTGCTGGCCATGATCCACCTGCACAGACACACCCCCGTCCCCGCACTGCTCGTCACAGTCAGTTCGGGGCAAAAAAACGGGATTTTGGGCAAAAAAATCGGGTGAAAATTGGGTGAAAATTGGGCAAAAATTGGGTGAAAATTGGGTGAAAATTGGGGGAAAATTGGGGGAAAAATGGGTGAAAATTGGGGGAAAATTGGGGGAAAATCGGGGGAAAATTGGGGGAAATTTTGGTGAAAATTGAGCAAAATTTGAGCAAAAATTGAGCAAAATTTGAGCAAAAACTGAGGGAAAATTGAGTGAAAATTGGATGAAATTCAACAAAATTTGGGTGAAAATTGAGTGAAAATTGAGAGAAAATTAAGCAAAAATTGGGGGAAAATTGGGTGAAAATTGAGGGAAAATTGAGCAAAATTTGAGCAAAAATTGAGGAAAATTGAGAGAAAATTGGGTGAAATTCAGTGAAATTTGGGCGAAATTTGGGCGAAAATTGGGTGAAAGTTCGGCGAAAATCGGGTGAAAATTGGGTGAAAATTTGGTAAAAATTGGGTGAAAATTGAGGGAAAATTGGGGGCAAATTGTGCAAAAATTGAGTGGAAATTGGGGGGAAATTGGGGGAAAATTGGGGGAAAATGGGGCGAAAATTGGAGGAAAATTGGGGGAAAATTGGGTGAAAATTGGGGGGAAATTGGGTGAAAATCAGGGGAAAATCAGGGGAAAATTGGGCGAAAATTGGGGGAAAGTTGGGTAAAAATTGAGCGAAATTTGAGTGAATATTGAGCAAAATTGAGAAAAAAATGAGTGAAAATTGAGCAAAATTGAGCAAAACTCGAGAGAAAATTGAGAGAAAATTGGGTGGAATTTGGTGAAATTTGGGCAAAAATTGGGTGAAAATTTCGATCAATTTTGGGTTCAATTTTGGGTCAAATCTGAGCAAGTTTTGGGTTGAATTCTTGGTCAATTTTGGATCAAAGTTTGGTTCAAATTTCAGTCGAATTTTAGGTCAAATCTGAGCAAGTTTGACCCCAAATTTGAGGAAATTTTGGGTCGAATTTATGTGGAATTTTGGGTCAAATCTGAGCAAGTTTTGGGTCAAATTTGGCTCAAATCTGGGTCGAATTTTGGGTCAATTTTGACTCAAATTTGGCTCGAATTCAAGTCGAATTTGGGGTCAATTTTGACTCAAATTCAAGTCGAATTTTGGGTCAATTTGGACTCAAATTTGGCTCAAATTTGAGTCGAATTTTGGCTCAAACCTGAGCGAGTTTTGGGATCAAATTTGGCTCAACTTCAGCTCAAATTCATGACAATTTTTGGTCAAATCTGAGCAAGTTTTGGCTCAAATTTGACTCAAATCTGGGTTGAATTTTGGGTCCAATTTTGAGTCAAATTTTGCTCAAATTCGAGTCAAATTTTGGGTCCAATCCAAGTAAGTTTTGGGTCGAATTTTGGGTCAAATCTGAGCAAGTTTTGGCTCAAATTTGAGTCCAATTTTAGGTCAAATCTCAGCAAATTTTGGGTCAAATTTTGGGTCAAATCTGAGCAAGTTTTGGGTCAAATTTGGGTCCCATTTTGGGTCAATTTTGACTCAAATTCGAGTCATATTTTGGGTCAAATCTGAGCAAGTTTTGGGTCAAATTTGGGGAAATTTTTGCTCCAAATTGGGGTCGAATTTGGCTTAGATTTGGGTTGAATTTTGGGTCAAATCTGAGCAAGTTTGGGCTCAAATTTAGCTCGAATTCGAGTTGAATTTTGGGTCAAATCTGAGCAAGTTTTAGTTGAAATTTGGCTCCA